GGCCACGTCCCCAAAGGGAGCTGAGGTTGGGGGAGAGAGAAGGGCTGAGTCATCAGGCTTTTGCTCTTCTCTGCCAGTTCTGTTTTCTGGTCCCCTTGACACGACCCCAGTAATAGCTGTCACTTACTAGACACCTTCTCTAAGTGCTATAGTGGACCTGGACTGTCCCCCAAAAGCTCATTTTAAAGGTTCGGGCTCCAGTTGGGAGGTGGTAGAACCTTCAGGAGATGGGACCTAGTGGGATCTCTTCAGGCTGAAGAGGATAATGGAGCCCCAAATGTGGTTTATTTCTGACCATGTCTTTGCTCTGCCATGGGCTCCCAGTATAATGAGCTTCCACAGGCCCCCAGCAGTGGTGCCAAGTGCTCATGGACTCAAAACCATAATCAAGATTAACCTTTCCTCTTTATAAGTTGATTGTCTCCAGTATTTTGTTACAGTAACAGAATACTAACACACTGCCAGGTGCCTGGCAGTGTGCCTCACAGACTTTCTCTTTTTGGATTCTCTTTGGTGACTGTCACGGGACTCCAACAAGGCTCCTTAGAAACTGTCAACTTCCCCTGACTCGAGACTCCTGGAGGAAAAATAACTGTACATAGTCCTCCAGCAAGAGCCACAGCCAGCCTTTCTGAGCCATTACTACTGGGGCAGGCAGGTCCTGTGAGTGGGAACAGACACTAACACTGACTTCTCACAGGAGCCCACTGTGGCTGAGAACAGTCTACTATTCTCCCAGCTTCATGCATTGAGGAATCAAGGTTCAGAGTGGTTAAGTCATCTCCTTAAGGGCAACCAGCAAGGAAGAGGTGAAGCCAGAATTTGAACACACACTCTTGGTTCCCAGGCGCACTGTCTTATGGGCTAAGACCACAGTACACACCTCATAAATCATTCCTGTCTCTTGGGGAAGGAAGGACACACATCTGTAGAAGCCCTAAACTGTTAGTCATGCATCTGTTTACTTCATGTTTTTCACAAACCCATGCAACAAGAGGTATGAGCTTAGTTTTTCATGTGCGGAAAGGATATTCAAAGAGGCCCAGTACTGGGCCTGGTGGCGCACACCTGTGATCCCTGCATTCAGGAGGCTGAAGCAGGAGTAGCACCATGAGTTCGAGGCCAACCTGAATGACAGCCAGACTCTGTCTCAAAACGTAATAATAATACTTAAAACAAAGAGGCAAAGTAATCGGAGTTTGGCTTCTGCTACACACCAGGAGCTTTTAAGCTGCCAAGGTACAGACGGTGCCCAGGGTGGCACAGCCCGTGAGACCCAAAGAATCAGAGGCCAGGGCTGAGTCCAGGCTCCGCCCCTCATCGGCTCCGCATGAGCGCAGACCATGCTACTGCTCCGAAGCCCCGAGTCTTCAGCTATCTGCAGTCTTCGGAGCAGCTTCGTGCTGCGTTGTCCAGGGCGGCCCTGCCCTCTCCTCGCCTGCTCCTGCCTGGCCCTGCAGCCGTCTCTCCGGCCCTTCCTGCCACGCCCAGCCCGCACCAGCACACGGGAGACGCGGTTTAGCTTCCACGGCCAGGACTTTCAGTTGCTGTGTCTGGAGCAGTACCATGGGAGGCGCCCCGCCACGTGGTCACTGAGTGGACACAGGGTGCTCAGGACCGTCGGAAACACGGGGAAGCCCCGCCAGCTGTGCGCGTTACCCACACCACCGGCGTGTCCGTGACTTCCACAGACCTCCGTGGCTGAGGCGAGCTGATGAGATGATCCTGAACAGAGGCCGGGGACCAGCCAGAGCCGGGCCAGCTGCCTACCACAAAATCAGGCAGCAGCCAGACACGGGTCCCGGCGCTTAAAATTCCAGACCTGAACTGTGCAGTTGTGGACCAGGGATGGCAAAATCTGGAGTGGATGTTCAGGAAATTTCTTGATCTGAGCTTAGAGTTCAGGCTAAATCAGTGACCGACCGGGGATGAGCTACCCCATCTCTTTCCCCAGTAGACTGATCTGGCAGCTGCTTTATCTCCCTGAGGCTTTTACCAGGGGATCTTTATTTCATTTACTACAATAAAGGCCTGGAGAGAACAGCTTTGGCCACTGAAGTATTTGCAGGGAGTGCAAAAAGTAAAATCTGTTCTTAATAGAAGACTGTAAATAGAGCCGGGGATTTAGCTCAGTGGTTCCGGCACCTGTCTTGCAAGCACAAGGGCCCGAGTTCAATCCCCGGTACCAAAAAAAAAAAAAGAAGAAGAAGACACTGCAAATAGCTTCTCAACCTGGGTTTAAAAAATGAAAACAAATCTCACATCACCAAATCTATAATTCTAAAGGTCTCTTCCCTCTGCTCCCTCTGCCTGTTTGAAAAGACGGACGTCCTGTGAGCCACTCATGCCTCAGAACCCTGTCAGGGAAGCCTCATCAAGAAGTCATTCCTAGAGCTTTTTGCTGTCCTGCCCTGCGCAGTGGCTTCCTCCACGTGCAATGATGTGGAAAAATGAGCGAGAGGCAAACCCCGAGGCCAGGATTAGCTGGTTTCAGGGACAGAGGCCAGTGGGTCCCCAAGACCTTGCGCCCAGGGCTTCACTTCTCCAGATGCCCCCCTTTCCTTCCTACCCCGCAGAGGATACCGACTCTGCCCAAAGCAGCTGTGAGAAGTGAACCCCACAACTGGCTGTTTATAGAAGCAAGTCAGGCCGAAGCCTACGTGCTGAGGTCAGAGCAACGTGCACCCAAATTCCATCCCCACAGCTAACACCTTCAGACTAGAAGGACGATGTTCTGATACCATCACATATCCTGTCTATTCTGTTCCTCATTTGAGAATGCCTTGTCTTGTCCTTTAGGAGCCTTGTTTACATTCATTTCCATAGGCACCACTCATGGTTCCCCTTTACCCCAATTGATTGCCAATAAAAGTCAGTGCCTGGGACTGTCCAGCACCTCTGTCCATTGCTCCAGCACCGACTGTCCTGGCTCCTGCTTTCTGTCCTAATCCTGTCCAGGCCTCTGTCCTATTCTGGCCAGGTGGGGACTGGAGATTTACTGCAGGGGTCTCTAGCACCACCCGGACTCGTGGCCTGGCCTCTCCGCTGTCCAGCAGGCCCGGCCTGCAGAACCCAGGCCGAAGGAGCTCCTGCCTCAGCCCACCTGCCGCACCCGGCTGCAGCCCGGTCACCTGGCAGCCTCTGCCTCACCCAGCCCTGCTCCCTGACTGGGTCTCCTCTCCGGTTCTGCTTTGCCC